CTCGTTATAAATTAGAATATGCGAAAATGCAGCTGTTGCTGTTAAGAAACATTTTGCGCGGCTTGTCAGGTCCGATTCTGCGAGATTGCAAAAAAATGCGCCTTATACAACAGAAAAGTAGTAAACACCGCAGTATAACCCTGCATGGTAAATTAAACGGATAAAAACCCTACCGTATACGTTTGCGATAGAACAGTCGTCTCAAGGGCAAGTTTTTGTTCTTGTTCAACGTCATATGCCACATAGCACAATTTCTCTTTCATTAATCGTACGGTTTCAAAATCAGCAGAATGATTGAAATTGTACCCACGCAACAATAATAACTGGAAATAATCGGGCATTACAAAATCAAAACATGGCATAATCAGACTTTCATTAAAAACAAGCTCTGACCAACCTTAATTAAATATCGAGTGATATCTCGTCCAGCAATGTCAAGCCTTCGCGTCAAATGATGCAAAGCATAACCTTGGTAGACGGGACAAATATGAGTGACACCGTCACCGGAATCCACGACAACACCCGTCAAGAGACCTTGAGCGTACAGCGTCAGCACAGCCTTCAAAATATTCAAGATAAGTTAGTCAAACTGATAGGAGTATATTATGATGGTCAATTCTGCAGTGCCATTCCAGTTACACTTGGTGGAAGAAGACCAGACTGACTGATGGAGCAATGTTGAGAAAATGATTACTGATTTGAAAAATGAGAAAAATAAGAAAACTGAGAAAATGAAAAGAAAATTGATAAATGATCAGTGTTTACTTCTTGTTCCCCAATCTGAGAAAAGATCTTCGTGGAACGCATACTTTTGACGATGGAGAGCTGAAGGCGCCAATTAACGCACATTTTGGGGAAAACCAGGAAAAATATTTGGAGAGTATTGAAAACGATTGTACTGAGGTTATAGGGGACCACATTAAAAAAGAAATTTTATCCAGAATTTTCTGCCTTTTCCTTCATACGTATACCGAGAACATATTGAGCACTCCTCGTAATTCTGGCTTTGGTACCATTCCAGCTTTGAAAAATGCAACTCAGGTGAAGAAGCACAATCACTTTGGACGTTACACATAAGAATACAAAAATGCGAACTCAAACATATTTCAGCACTGTTTACTTACTACCTCACTCTTCGAAGTTCTTATCACATTTCAACCGAAATTCTCCTTGTGGATAGATTTCGGTAACACTTCGCAAGATAGCCTGTCCCCTGCCTGATTATCTTACGCGATCCGCTCAAAACCGCCTTGCGCCCGCGCCACAGGCACTAGCGCAACAACCCTTAAGAGCCAAACACCGAAATTGTTGGAAAATATTCCCAACAGCGCCTGACAAGAACTTCGTCCCGGCGCGGGAGCCAAAACTACCTGCTGCGCAGGCGCCCGACGCTACTACTTCAAAATGTTCCAACTTGAATTTAGCCCCAACTCCGAAGTGTGGAGCAGTGAGAGGTTGACTACCACACATGTATGAGAAGGTGAAAAAAGGAAAGAGTAAACAAGAAATGTAAAAAAAGACACTGTTCAAGGAGCGTCTCATAAAAGCTAGTGACGGAGCAAATGAATGCTCTGAATTTTGGATACCGTATAAAAGGTCCTCTTGGTCCCTGATCAATCCCTATTTGGGATAAGACACGCATTCTACATCCATTCAGAATCATAGTGGCTAGTAAATGCGACAAGGATCCATAAAATGATTTGATGGGGCCAGTCGGTGTTCTTATTCTCTCACGCGAATCTGGTACCAACCGCTCCCGGAGATTCGAAGGCTTGGTTAGCCTTTGCGGGAGTAGATCCGGGATTATAGCACCTGGACCGTGCGTGTGGTGAGTGTGCAACTGGGCACTACACTACCTTCCACCTCATTCACTTTGGATACTCTTCCAGATCCCCATATCTTAAGAAACCGTCCAGGCAGCGTGCATCAGACCCAGTGCTTCTAATCTACGAAAACCAAATTATGAACATAGCGACGTTGGTCAGGGGGCTCAACGGATGACTTTTTAGGGACAGAACGGCAGCTTTCAAGAACCTATACAGAACTCATTCCGTGTAAATCACACATCGCTTACAAGCTTCTTCTTCTCCCTAGCGTTAGTCCTGCGCCGTTGCAGGGTCGGCAACACACATCGCCTACAAGCTGACGCAAATACTTTAGGCCCCCTCGAGCTCCACAGAGATCTTTTGCCTCTCATATAATACGAGACGAAAAAAATGGGAATTCAGAAACAAAAATGTTCAATGCTAATATGCGCAAAATGACAACTATGTGGACACGTTAATGACTAAAAGAACGATATTGCTATGGTCTGACTGCAGAAAAAATCAGCTGAAAACACAAGAAAAAAAAAACAAAAACTGGGAATCACTCACCTGTACAGCGACATGAATAGAATGGAAACCATATTGTTCGAACATCACTTGAAATAAACGCTCACGATTGCTACTAGGATTCAATGGCGGTTCGGTTAGAAGCAGTTTGCAGTCCTGGAACATGTGCGATCGTCAGAAAGAATTGGTCAGAAAGAAGATTTCAGTTGATGTGTCTTTACTTAAACTTATTTCAAGTCGCATTTCCGCTCGGTTCTGTGATGTTTTATTAGCGAATTGAGCCACTTGTCTTGGTGGAGACACCGAATGGTACTCAGCAAAGACTGAACATGCTACCTTGTAGAGACCTGAGAATCCCTGCTACTGAGCTGGCTCACTTGTAAGATTTCAGAGCTTCGCGGAAGTTTATAGACCCTCCCAAAATGAGACCTGTTACCTACAATGAATTATCAAGAGGAACTAATGAAAATGCGAAATGCCCCTCCAAGACGATCAGCGATGAATTACTTTGGCTGACTGCTTGTTTCCAAAAGGCTTTTTGCACTCAGAGATATAAATGATTCCCTTCGATGGTGACACATTATTTTAGACAACCAGTACTTCACCAAAACTTGTCGGATGCATCTTAAGGATCCCAGTAGTTGGTTACTACGCGCCGACTGTTTCGTTTCTTCGACGGGATTTGAGAACATCAGCACTGTCTTTACTTTGATGCGCTTTACAACGCGCCTTAAAAACAAAATTAAATAGATTAACCCATTCAAAAGTACAAAATGAGTCAGCATGGCTTGAAAGGACCCTAATTAAAGACAGCTTCCGCGATCAAGAGGCCCGCAAAATGCATTCGGAGGGAATATACCACTTTTGTAACTCAAAACGGCGAGATAAAGCAGCTGATTATTGCAACCATTGCAACCACGATTACTTTCACTCTGCAAGACAACGGCTTACAAGCGGAATCGCGTGTGTACATAGCGTTGCCTGGAGCGTCGTAGGGTGATTTCCTGTGCTCTTGCCGGAATTGGTTGCACGTCGAATCCTGCTGATTGGGCTTGCCGACGTCCGACAAACTCGTCCAAGGCGCCCACTGCTAAGCGGGTCTCTGTTCGGAGTGTTCCCGATGTTTTGTTGTCTACAGGTGGTTACTTATGGGCTACTGGTTCATGAGTGAACACCTACTAACCGTAAACACTTGATCGTGGGAATGTCTTCATAGAGATGAAAAGTCCACAGTAATGGGAGCAGGTTTATGTAACAGTTGAAAAAAAAACAGTTAAAAATTAATATGCCCAGCGCTGGCGGGCTACCCTTGACAAAGAGAAACTGAAGTAGACCTCGTTTGAGTCTCATATGCCCCAGTTCTTCGTATTGAGTCCCATGTAACGGGTTCCATGCTTCTGGTATAATATCTTCTATTATCACGATACGCGATCGAATGCCTAGCCGGAGGCCCAATTATCTCAAGTGCGCATGAGAATTTTGAGCCTCAGGGTGTCTTTTAGGGCGCTTTCCGGGCACCTCGATCTCAACACCACTCTTACGAAACGGGTCCAGCTTTCGCAATGTCCTAGTTCCCATTTTTCAATACATGCAAAACAAAAAAAAAAGTGACAACTCTGAACTTTTCCTGATGGTTCTCAGAGTTCTATGGAGGTACGCATATAACACTACGCTCAAAACGATGAATGTGCTGCCATGACGATTAATATCACGCATGATGCTCGTCCACAAGGTGAATCAGCGCATCAGTCATAACAGTGTTCACGGCGCAAACAATACGGCAATATATGCAGCAATCTATCCACTTTGGCAATGGAAACACCAAACATTCCAGGAAAGTGAATTACACGTTGTCATCAACTCTCTGCTCCCTTCTTCACCGCGACATTTTTTGCGCCGCTTGAGGATACTCAAACCACGGAAATGAAATGATCACACAAAGGGAGCGCATTGCGTTCCAGGATATCGTCAACGCCCAAAGATTCCATTCCCGTTCCTTTTTCTTCCTTCTTTTCCCACCTGCCTTCTCTCTTCCCTCCGCCTTTGCGTTCTCCCTTCAACAGCTGGGCAGCAGATACCATGAAAAAAAATACCTTTGCACCCTCACAGCGAGAGCATGCCCGGTTAGCCATGTTTTGCCACAGCATACGTTGAACGGAGAGGCGACGGTGCCCGTTTGCCAATACTAGAGGCCGCCTTCAGGCAGGCACAGCCGAGTGGTTAAGAGTGTAGTCCCACATCTGCACTCTGAGTACGATCCTCCCCAAAGCACAAATCATTCCTTTGCAAAAATCAGGTATGAGACGACACCACAGTAATGCCTGCGTGACAAACCAGGCTGATGGAAACCGTCTTCAAACAGTCATGTTCTGTGGCACTTCTCGGAAAATTCTTTGATGAGGTACATCGTCCATCTGGGGAGGGGGCTGCATAATTTGTCGCCTGCAAAGTCTAGAATCACATTTCGTCTCCGGACGAGAAATTCCTGATTATTGACTTTCCACCTCATCCACTTCATATAGTACGTGTCATGAATGATGACTCCGGTAAAAAGGTTTCTGGTCGGTTGACCCGGAAGTGTCCATCCCCATTTGCCTTCGGATGGCCAAAATATTGCGAAAAAATGGTCAAGATTGCAGTTCTGCATGGGAGTTTGCTGCAGTGGGATTCCTCTCTCTTGCGAGTGCGGGATATAGTAACTATAGCCAATCAGCATATCCGATGATGAACCGCTGCTCTGATGTTTTGGGAAAGTTTGGATGGAAATTTAATTCAACTTGGCTCGAACGGCATTAACGCAAAAGTACTCAACCCATTTTGAACTTTCTCGCATCGCACCTAGCACTCCCTTGGCTAACACCAGCTCGGACCAAAAGTTAAAAAGTAAGGAAAGTGATCAGGAAAAAGCAGATTTTTGTACAAATTAAACCCACATGACACTTTTACTTCACCTAGTTTCCGACTATTAATTGTTTGATAAAGCTCTGGCGAGAACAATCTTTTTTTACTACAATCCGGACCGCTGTTTGCGAAGATCCCCGCATAATTTCGTTACTTTTCAAACCGATAATCAGCAATTTCACCTGTTCCTTTCTTTTCTACGAGATATTTGTATTCTGTGCCTAAAAAGTGCTCTGATACCTTCGGAGCATGAATAAGATGCCAAATAGATTCTATGAAATGGCGCAGAGAGAAAAAAGTGTGACACACCATGTGTGTCACGCGGTCCGGAACGTGTTAAGTGCGCCACGCATTCGCCATCCGCCTTCTTCAGTCTAGGTGACAATTAAGATACAGTCTGACATGGCTTGCGTGCAAACTGATATACAAGGTTTTTGTCTTTCCAGGCAAGACTGGTAAAAATTTATCGGCCACGGAGGGCTAGAAAACTCAGTTAGGCCAGGAGGTGGCCTAGCCAGGAGTTGACCCCAGAACTGCGTATGTGGCAGGTGATGCCAGGCTACAATTTCTCAGTACATTCCTTCTGATTGGAAGCAGAAGGCTACCGAACACAAGTCGAATTCTTTTCAATTTCCTCAGCCGGCGCTCAAATGTTCACGCTTTTCGAACATTTACCGCTTTCAAGTCACCACTAACTTCGAGCATCCACAGTGTCATCTCTCGCACCCAGCGAATAATCGCGGCGGGGAAACCAAAATAGATAGGTGGAACGGAGATTCAGAAAATTCTAGGCTCCGAATTGAAACTTTCTTTCTTTTATTTCAAAGAATATTTTCATGGTCCCTCATGTAAAACCGAAACACCCTTCATACTCAAACGAATTATTTACTACTAGGCAGGTTTGGAGTGACTCATCATCCAAATTGTAATGCCCTTTGTTTCCCATCGATTAAACGTATGTCTCATTTAGTCACCTCCCTTGTACTTAGGGATCAGTCTCATCACTAAACGGGTAGAAAAGTTGAGTAATCCAATAAAATCATTCAGAACACATCTGAGCAGAATGGAATGGGAACCTTCCGGTAAAATAACTTACCCGGACCTCTGGCAAAAAA